ACACCCAGACAGAGCAAGCCTAGCCCATTCAGGGGGTGCCTGGTGGTGCTCCAACATCAGGCTGTCAGGGCCAGAGGCAGTGCTGCAGCTGCTGGCAGCCAGAGATCCCAGCTCGCAGCCTGCCAGCCCCTGGGGTGCTCCACAGGCTGCAGCCCCTCTGGGAGAGCACCTAGCTCCAGAGCCAAGGCTCTTGCCAGAACACCCACCCACAGAGCTCCAACCCCTCTGCCATGAAAGGCCTTCTCCCAGCAGATGGGAGGCGATTCCATGACAGCAGATGGTAAACACCCCTCAGCTAGGGCATGAGAAGAAAAAGGCTGGGACAAAGAGGAGGAAAGGCTGTCCATGTAGCAAACTACACACCCAAAACTGCAGCCATGGCTCGCTCGGCCGTGCTTCGCAGAGTCTCTCCAGGCTGCCACTCCACTTGAGGCAGAAGCCACAGCTCCTGGTCACCAACTTTCTGTTTCACCAGAAGCATCAGGTTTCTGTCCAGCTTCCTGTTCAGCGATGTTCGATCGTTGTTTTTATCAGCATCTGCCAAAAAAACAACACACACTAGAAACAAAGTCTCCCCAGCCGGGCTGCTCTGCTCTCCTTGATTAATCAACCCTTGTATCTCTCACCCCTTTACTATAATACATAAACATAGATACATGAAGCAAGACAAAAGCCTAGACAGAAATGCTTCCAGTTACTCAGGAAGCCAATGCAGGATTCAGCTGGAACCCACTACTGGACTTATACCCCATTTCATTTCCAGAAAGAATTTACAGCAAGTAGCCTAGATCTCTTCCTTGACAAAAATCAACAAGAGCAGTAGGCAGAGCTTGGGAACCAAGCAATCAAATGTTTCTCTTGTCTGGCAACATCCATTTTCACCATTTTGCTCTGGCAAGCTTGGCCACACGCATCTCCACAGCATGGGAACACTGATTCCTTTGTCAGCCAGGTAATTCCTCATGTGCTAACAGTACTGCCACAGTGCCAAAACACTTTTTAAAACATCAAAACACCCAGCAAATGCCTTCCTTCTATCGAATTGCACCCGGCAACCAGGCCGTCCTCACCCACCACAATGTCCACCCTGTACCTGTTATCCGTGAAGCAGCTTTAAATCGCAGGAACTTCTGTTCCCACTTGTCCTCCAGGTCTTGAGCCATGATGACCGTTTTGCCGGGTGCTTCGTCCTCATCGTAGGCACTTTCCTTCCTCCTCCTGAGACGCTCCTCCTCCTCCTGTTTGCGGATTTCGTGGTCCGAATAGCAGCTTTTCTCCAGTTCTATCTAGAAGAGCAACGCAGGGACTTTTTAAGCCATCAGCCCGATGGGTCATAGGGGGAACGACATCCCCCAGGGCGTTCCTACCACATCCAAGGGCTG